TCAATGCCATGTGGTCTGTCCAGTTTCATTACTTTCTTGAGAATTTGTAGCAATTGATACAATTGAGTGACTTGCTGGGCCATTTCAAAGGGAATTTGAGAGTCAACTATATGGCTGTGGCTCTGGAGTAACATGTAAGCCAGACCATGTAAGGCTGGCAGATTTCTTTCCTTGAAGGACATCAGTGAGCCAGTCAGACAATCAATAATGGTTTCATGGTCATCAGGACATTCTTAATTCCAAATACTTTCTATTGAATTCAAATTCCATTTCTGGTGGAATTAGAATTAATTGACTTTCTGGATTAATAGTCAACCAATCATTCCACTAGGCCATTGCCTCCGCCTCGGCCTGCTCCCCCATTTGATAGTCATGACTAATTTGATTGTGACCTCTACTTTCCTGTGTTGGAAATATGGTTTTGGTTTCCCACCATAATCCCTGCAAATGGTCTCCAAGGCACTCATCATCTTGACTTGGAAATATATCACCATTCCTTCACTATCGCTGAGTCAAAATCCTGGAATTCCCTCTCTAATGGCATTGTGGGTCAACCTACAGCAGATGGACTGCAGCAGTTCAAGAAGGCAACTCACCACCACCTTCTTAAGGGCAACTAGGGACAGACAATAAATGCTGGGCCCAGCCAGTGACACCCACATTGCACAAAATGAGTCAAAAAAAGAACATCATTGAGTCATAGAGATAAACAGCACAGAAACAGATCCTTTGGCCCAGCTCGTCCATACTGACCAGATATCCTAAATAAATCTAATCCCATTCACCAGCATTTGGCCTATATCCTTCTTAAACCCTTCCTATTCATTTTAAATGTTGTAATTGTATCAGCCTCCACCACTGCCTTTGGACCTTACCATCAAGTGTATAAGTCCTGCCCTGATTTGCCTTTCCAAAATGCAGCACCTCACACTTATCTAAATTAAACTCCATCTGCCACTCCTCAGCCCATAGGCCCATCTGATCAAGGTCCCATTGTACTCCGAGGTAACCTTCTTAGCTGTCCACTACACCTCCAATTTTGGTGTCCTCCGCAAACTTACTAACCATACCTCCTATGTTCACATCCAAATCATTCATATAAATGACAAAAAGCAGTGGACCCAGCACCTTGTGGCACACTGGTGGTTACAGGCCTCCAGTCTGAAAAGCAATGTTCCACTGCGTCCCTATGTTCCGTGTGATCTAACCATATTAACCAGCCTACCAAGAGGAACCTTGTTGAATGCCTTACTGAAGTCCACATAGATCGCATCCACTGCTCGGCCCTCATCAATTCTCTTTGTTACTTTTTCAAAAAACTCAATCCAGTTGGTGAGACACGATTTCCCATGCACAGAGCCATGTTGACTATCCGTAATCAGTGCTTGCCTTTCCAAATACTGTAAATCCTGTTTCTTAGGATTCCCTCCAACAACTTGCCCATCACTGATGTCAGGCTCACCTGGCTTTTCCTTACTACCTTTCTTAAATAGTGGCACCACATTAGCCAACCTCCAGCCTTACAGCACCTCACCTGTGGCTATCGATAATACAAATATCTCAGCAAGGTGCCCAGCAATCACTTCCCTCGCTTCCCACTGAGTCCTAGGGTACACCTGATCAGGCACAAATGATGTCATTAATTCTGTATAATGTAGATTTAGATCTAATATTCAAACTTGTTCTATTGGTTATGACATTGCATTAAGACTAAGGTTTTTCTGTCATCCTTGGGCCTTTTTATGATACTAGCAAACATATTCTTTTTATTTGTCTCAAACTAATTACTATTGTTTTACACAGGGCTTGAATTTCTTGATTCCAATTGTAGATCGGATAAGGTATGTACAGAGCTTAAAGGAGATAGTTATTGATATTCCAGAACAATCTGCTGTTTCCTTAGGTAAGTGCTGTAATACATTTGGGATAAATATTTAATTTTGAGTTTTCTTCACAAAATTGTCATTATTTGCACACTATAAACTTTCTGCAACAAATGAAACATGCAATAATTGGAACTGTGGCATATTTTGTGTAACCCACCATCAGTCAACATGCTCATTCAGCAAATGTGTTAATCCTTTTGGATGAGGTTGCTGTGGTAACCGATTGTCTGGGTGCTCTGATTTCTTCCACGAGAGCTCAGGACTCAATTTGCAGAGAAGCAGCTCGCTGAGTGTATGACATACCAACTGTATTTCCGGACCAGAATTTTAAGATACATTAACAATACATCATCCTGAGAATTTTAGAATTGTATACTGTGAGATATAGAATCAGCTAATCACATTCCTGCTTCTCAGGGCATTAAGTTGCCAAACTTGGCTATCTAATCAGGGATAACTCCAAATGCAGTGTATTATACTGACATAGCATCTTCAAAATAATAAAATATTCCAAGGCACTTTACAAGAGTGTTGTAAAGCAAAATTTGACTTTGAGCCATATAAAACAATATTAGGGTAGATGGTCAAAGAGTTTGGTTTTCAGGAGCATCTTTAAATAGGACAGAGGTGTGGAGAGGGAATTCCAGGGCAGCTGAAGGGATGGCTATCAGAGGTAGTACAATCAAAGAAAAAGTTGTTCGAGAGGCCTGAATGGGTGGTGTTGATATCGTAGAGGGTTTTGGGGTTGGAGGAGATTTCAAAGATTGGTGGTAGGGGTGAAGCAGTCGAGGGATTTGTAAACAAGGATGAGAATTTCAAAATCACAGCTCAATCAAGGCATCAGGAAGGAATTAGTTGTTTTTTGTAAAAAGCAAACAATATGCAGGATTACAGGGAGAAGTGCAATTCTTTTGCATTTGTGAGATACCTATTTGGAAAGCTGGTGCAGCTACAGTGGGCCAAATGGCCTCGTTCAGCACTAATAATTCTATGGTTAAGGTGCAGCTTAACCAGGAGTCAACGTAGGAGTGAGTGTTTGGATGATAGGTATATGTGTTGAAAGTATCCACACAGACATCAGATTTTTGAGAGGCTTATGGAGAGCAGAACCTCAGCCAGATTTCTATTGGAATACATGAGCCTATAGGTAACTAAGAAATGGCTAAGGGTTCGGCAACTGATGAATTAATAGAAACATAGGAACAGGAGGAGGCCATTTGGCCCTTCTAGCCTGCTCCACCATTCATCACAATCATGGCTGATCGCCCAACTCAAAAGCCTAATCCTGCTTTCTCCCCATAACCTTTGATCCCATTCGCCCCAAGTGTTACATCTAGCCGCCTCTTGAATACATTGTGTTTTGGCATCAACTATTTCCCTGTGGTAATGAATTCCACAGGGTCACCATTCTTTGGGTGAAGAAATGTCCCCTCGTCTCCGTCCTAAATGGTCTACCACAAATCCTCAGACTGTGACCCGAGTTCTGGACACACCTACCATTGGGAACATCCTCCCTGCATCCACACTGTATAACACTGTTAGAATTTTATAAGTCTCTATAACTTGCCCCCTCATTTGTCTGAACTCTAGCGAAAACAAGCCTAACCTAGTCAATCTCTCCTCATACGTCAGACCCGCCATCACCGGAATCAACCTGGTAAACCTTCACTGCACTCGCTCGAGAGCAAGAGCATCCTTCCTCAGAAAGGGCGACCCAAAACTGCACACAATATTCCAAATGTGGTCTCACCAAGGCCCTGTACAACTGCAACAACACATCCCTGCTCCTGTACTCTCAACCTCTCGCAATGAAGGCCAACATACCATTTGCCTTCTTTACTGCCTGCTGCATCTACATGCTTACGTTCAGCAACTGGTGCACAAGGACACTGAAGTCCCACTGCACACTCCCCTCTTCCAATTTACAGTCATTCAGGTGATAATCTGCCTTCTTGTTTTTGCTTCCAAAGTGAATAACCTCACATTTATCCAAATTATACTGCATCTGCCATTGATTTGTCCACTCACCCAACCTGTCCAGATCATGATGAAGGATCTCTGCATTCTCGTAACAGTTCACTCTCCCACCCAACTTGGTATCATCTGCAAACTCAGAAATGTTACATTTTGTTCCCTTGTCCAAATCATTAATATATATATTGTGAATAGCTGGAGTCCCAGCACTGCTCCCTGTGTCACTCCAATAGTTACTGGCTGCAAATTTGAAAAGGACCCATTAATTCCTACTCTTTGTTCCTTCTTTGCCAACCAGTTTTGTATCCATTTCCATACACTTTCCCCAATCCCATGCACTTGAATCTTGCACAATAATCTCTTATGCGGCTCTTTGTCAAACTCTTCCTGAAAGTCCAAATATACCACATTGACATTAATAGTACGGTACAGCTTAGTGTTGCCAAGTACTTGTGTAAACTGATGATGTTTGTTCAGAAGTCGTTACCATGTAGTTAGCAGATCAATGAGAAATAGGAGGGGTAAAAGGTAGATGCTGGGGGCCACCAGGAGAAATGATTCAGGAGCGGGAAGAGAAATCATTGCAAATGATCCTCTGACTGCAGTAAAATAGTTAAGAATGGAACCAAGTGATTGCATACCTACCTAATTGGATGGCTACAAAGAGGTTTTGGAAGAGGATGATTTGGTCAAACATGTCAAAGTCTGCAAACAGGTCAGGAAGGATGGTTTGCATTTGTCACAGTCACACTGGATATTACTTGTGACTGATGAAAGCTGTTTCAGTACCATGCCAGGGTAGCAACCTGTTGGCAAAATTAGCAAGAACATGATCTTGCATTGACAAAATTTCACATGCATGGACAATTCACATGTCTCCATGGAGTCATAGACACCTGTAGCCCAGCATAAGTCCTTGTGCTTATGCTGGCTCTTTGAAGGTGCCGTCTACTTTAGTCCTCCACTCCAGATTTTTCCTTCTAATTAGTCCGACTCAAGTGCATGTCCAATGACCTTTCAAAAATTCCTCTGCAATCTGATTCCACCACTCTTTCAGGTAGTATGACCTAGAACTTTGCAACCCTTGTGTGACAAAGTTGTCTCAATTTCCCCTCAAGTTCTTCTGTCAAAGACATTGTTTTAAATCTGTAACCTGTTTCCCAACTGTTTGCTAGAGGCAAGTTTCTCCCTGTTTTATCAAATTTTCACAAACCTTTGACCATGTATGTTAGGTTTTCCTTTTACCTTCTCTGCCCGTAGGAGTCTTTCCAATCTCTCCATTTAATTGAAATCCCTCATTCCTGGTTTCTTTCGTTTAATCTGTACACCCATTCCAAAGCCTTGACATCATCCCAGAAGCGTGATGCCCAGAATAATATGCAGTACACCAGCTGATGCCTAACCAGGCTGAACATGACTTCCTTGTTTGTATTTAATGCCCCTATTAAGAAAGGAAAGTATTTCATGAAGCTTTTATCAGCTTGTGATGCCAAATTCAAAGATTTATAAACAAGTACCTGTGGTCCCTCTATTCTAGCTACCCACTCAAAATTAGATAAAACTGCCTTGCCATGTTGTTGCTCCCAAGTTGCATCATTTTTACTTAAGCTGCATTAAATTGCATCTGCCATGTGCTTCCCCATTTCACTGGTCTATTCCGCTAACTGTCTTCTGTGTTGTCAAGTTTTACACTGGACCCAAACTTACAAATTACGCTCAATACCTAAGTCCAAAACATTTGTGCTTTTAATGAAAGCAATGGGACTATTACAGACCACTCGCTATATCCACCAGTAAAGTCAGGTAATCTTCTGTTCACCTCCACTGTCCTGTAATCAATTATTATAGGAATGGACATCAAGAAACAGCGTAAGTTTTAAACTAATAGATTTTAATATTTAAAGATTTTGCCTTTTATTTGCATAAAATCACCCACAATCCTTTTAATCATGACTGCATTCATAGTTTAATAGTTGTGAAATACCCTGGTTTAGTTTTGGGCTACAATTAAGCTGCTGTTCAGTCCCATTAGTTGCATTAACAAATGTATTGAATCAAATGTGCAAAATTAACAACTTTTCAATCACTGTTACAGATAACGTGACTTTACAGATTGATGGTGTACTATATTTACGAATAATTGACCCATACAAGGTAGGGCAAGTGACATTTTTAATTTTTTTGTCATTGTTTGTGAACTGTTGTGACATTATAAAACTGTTTATTTGATAAATTTTGCTGTTTTTATAAATTTTTGCATGCTTGCACATTTGTGTCATAGAAGTAACTAGTTAGTAATTGTATTAAAACACAAAATGAATTCAGAAACTCAGAATTAGGAACATGTAAATAGTACAGCCTTAATGACTCAAATAAACCAAAAAGTTAAGAGTATGAAAGAAAGCTATTTGGAAAAATAAAAACAAACTAAGAATTTCTACAAATATTCAAAAAGGAAAAGGGTAACTAAAATATGTATGGATTCTCTAGAGAGAGAGTCTGAGGAATTAATAATGGAAAGCAAGAAATGCCAGAGCATTGAATAGGTATTTTGTATTTGTCTTCACTGTAGAAGACTTAGAAAACTTACCAAAGAATCTTGAAGATAGAGATGAAAGGGAGGAACTTAAAATAATCACCATCATCCAGAAAAAGGTACTGGAAGAACTATTAAACTTCCCAGCACCTCATTGCCTGCATTTCCAAGCTTTCCAAAGAAACGAACAAAAACAGAAGATGGTGGAAAAGCTCAGCAGGCCTGGCAGCTCCTGTGAAGAAAAATCAGAGTTAACATTTTAGGTCTGGCGACCCTTCCTCAGAACACAGTTCTGAAACATTAACTCTGATTTTCTTCACAGATGCTGTCAGACCTACTGAGCTTTTCCAGCAACTTGTGTTTTTGTTCCTGATTTACAGCATCTGCAGTTCTTTTGGTTTCTTCAAAGAAGTGGCTGCAACGACAGTTGAGGCAAATTCCTTAGATTCTGGAAGGGTCCCAGTGGAATGGAAAGTAATAAATCCAACACCTTAATTCAAGAAGGAAGGAAGTCACAAGCTATAGGCAAACGATCCTAACAGCTTGCACAGTGATCTTGCTAGTATCGGTTATTAAGGGGGTTCCAGCAAGAAACTTAGAAACTTATAATATGATCAGGCAGTCATCATAGTTTGGTGAAAAGGAACTTACTATAATTTCTTGAGGAAATGACAAACTAGTTGCTAAAGGGAACATGTAAATATAGTGTATTTGAATTTCCAAAAGGGATTTGACATTTGTCCAGGACTTTGGTGAGGCCTCTTCTAGACTACTATGTCCAATTGTGGTCTCCCTGTTAAAGGAATGATATTATTAAAGCTGAAGAGAGTTCAGAAGAGATTTACCAGGATTTTGCTGGGAATGGAAGGTTTGCGTTATAAGGAAAAGGCTGGGCACTTTTGTCAGTGGATTGTAGGTGGTTGAGGGATGACCTTATAGAGGTTTATAAAATAATTAGGGGTATAGATAAGGTGAATAGCAGCTGTCTTTTCCCTAGGGTGAGGGATTTCAAGACCAGGGGACATACTTTTAAGATGAGAGAAGAAAGATTTAAAAAAAAACATGAGGGACTTTTTTTTTTACACAGTGGTTTGTGTGTGGAATGAACTTTCAGAGGAACTGGTGGATGCAGATATAGTTACAATGTTTAAAAGACATTTAGATAAGTACATGAATGTGAAATGTTTGGAGAGATATGGGCCAAGAGCAGGCAGATGGGACTAGTTTAGTTTGGAATGATGGTTGGCATGGACAGTTGGACTGAAGGGTCTGTTTCCGTGCTGTATGATTCTTTGACTGGATTTCGTAATCAAAAATTACTACACTCTACATCACATCCTAGCACAATGGCTTGGCTAAAGGATAGTTAGCTAACAGGAAACATTAGGGCCAACTGGATCATTTTTGGATGAGGAAGCTGTAACAGGTGGATTGCCAAAAGATTGTTGCTGGAGCCTCAACTATTTATAGTCTATATTGATGGCTTGGACAAAGGAATTTAATGTGTGATAGTTAATTTGTTGATGACAACTAGATGGGTAGAAAATGAAGTTAACAAAAGGAGGTACAAGGGTGATGGGAAACAGAACTGATACACATTAGGACCCAACATTAAGTACATACAAGGTCGAATGTGTGAGGTTATGGGAATATTCAGTCAAGAGATAGCGTGGGCATTGTTGAGGATTTCAGCTGGACATTAATGAGGAAGGGTTGGTGTCTCAGAATTGGAAATATAGACGGTCTTAGTGAAGTAGCAACTGCATTGTGTGATCAGAAGTTTCTTCCCAATGCTTGGTTAGAGGAAATGTCTTTTCATCCAATGTTGGACAATGGCAAATAAAAACCAAAAGAACTGCAGATGCTGTAAATCAGGAACAAAAACAAAGTTGCTGGAAAAGCTCAGCAGGTCTGGCAGCATCTGTGGAGGAGAAAACAGAGTTAATGTTTCGGGTCCGGTGACCCTTCCTCAGAACTGATGGTGGCTGGGAAAACGTCAATTTATATGCAGAAAATAGGGAGGTGGGTGGGGTAGGGAGTAAACGATAGGATAGAGCCCAAAGAGAGAGAAAGACAGTTGGACAGACAAAGGAGTTGCTAATGATCAGGCTGGGAGGGCGAGTAGTTGTTAATGGGGACTGTTAGTGACTAACAACAGGGGGTGTGTAGTGGCAGGCTATGTGGTAACAAGGCCTGGTGTGTGGGGTGGGGGGGCTGGGACATGGGAGAGTTTAGGCCCTAAAATTATTGAACTCAATATTGAGTCCGGAGGGCTGTAGGGTCCCCAAGCGGAAAATGAGGTGTTGTTCCTCCAGCTTGTGCTGGGCTTCACTGGAACACTGTAGCAAGCCGGAGACAGAGGTGTTGGCCAGGTAGCAAGGTGGTGCATTGAAGTGGCAGGCAACAGGTAGTTCAGGGTCTTCTTTGCGAGCAGAACGTAGATGTTTTGCGAAGCGGTCGCCAAGTCTATGCTTCGTTTCCCCCAATGTAGAGGAGACCACATTGTGAGCAACGAATGCAGTAGACTAGATTCTTGGAAGTGCAGATGAAGTGTTGCTTCACCTGGAAGGTATGTTTGGGCCGTTGGATACTGGGGAGGGAGGAGGTAAAGAGGCAGGTGTTGCACCTTCGCCGGTTATGGGGGGAGGTGCCGTAGGGCTGTGGGGAGGTGTTGGGGGTGAAGGAAGTATGTTCCAGGGTGTCCCGGAGGGAACGGTCCCTGCAGAAGGCAGACAAGGGAGGGGAGGGGAATATGTGTCTGATGGTGGCATCTTGCTGGAGGTGGTGGAAATGGCGTCTGATGATCTTCTGGATGTGGACACTAGTGGGATGGTAGGTGAGGATAAGGGGAACCCTATTGCTGTCACGGGAGGGAAGAGAAGGGGTGAGGGCAGAAGTGCGGGAGATGGGTCGGACCCGATTGAGGGCCCTGTCGACAACGGATAATGGCAACTCGTCTGACAATTTTGAAACATTAGAGGAATCAGCAAAGGTAATGATGAGGAAGAATTAGGTGTTATTAGAGTCATTACAGCACAGAGGAGGTCATTCAGCTTAACTAGGCTACACGGGCACTCTAGAGTAATCCATTCAGTTTCGTTCATTCCTCTGCTCCATCTCCACATTTAAACAATTTCCTTGTTGCTTTAATCCATACCTGCCATATCTCGTCTTCTGCTATCAAACCTCCCCTCAATCTCCTTTGGTCCAAGGAAGGCAACTTCAACTTCCACGCAGACTTTTAGTTAAAATCTCTCACTCATGGAATCATTCTGGTCAATTTCCTGTCCACCCTCTCAAACTCAGAACCACATGTAGGAGGCCAGTTGTGGTCTTGAGAGCTTTATACAGGTTCTGCTTTTGCACTCAGCCTCTGTTTATGAGGTTCAAGATCTCACATGTTTCTTTTCAAATATGTAGCAATGAATTGATCTGGATAATGAAAATTTAATTTTTCTCTTCCTCCTTCAGGCAAGTTATGGAGTTGAAGATCCTGAGTATGCAGTAACTCAGCTGGCCCAAACAACCATGAGATCTGAACTTGGGAAACTCACATTGGACAGTGTTTTTAGGGTAAAGTAATTTGAAATTCACTGTCTCCAATTTTCTTTAACATAATGAAAGCAAAATATCATGGATGCAGGAAATCTCAAACAGAAATAGAAATGCTGTAAATTCTTAGTTGATCTCATAGCATCCAAAGACCAACAAACTAACAAACATTTTGGGTCAGAGATAGTAGGAACCGCAGATGCTGGAGAATCTGAGATAACAAGGTGTAGAGCTGGATGAACACAGCAGGCCAAGCAGCATCAGAGGAGCAGGAAGGCTGACGTTTCGGGCCTAGACATTTTGGGTCATTGGTCTTTCACTGAAATATAGGAGCTGATGGCTGATTTTAAGGTTGCACTTCGGTTGTTTTAGATAATTCATAGTTACTGCTCAAGTATTTGGTTTGAAAAAGGAAAGTGAAGTATACCAATTAGAACACTAGATAGAAAAACTATTTTTGTGCAATACTCAGTAGGGACGTCCAAGATATTAACCTAACAAAGGTGAAATCTGATTTGGTATATATTCAAGTCTAGTTAGTGTATAAATTGGAGGGGAATTTGGGAGTTATGTTTTACCTGCTGCTGCTTTTGTCATTCATCATGTCGCTACCCAGCTTGGAGCCATGATATTGATGAGACAGGACCAATTAAACATCTGGACTTTAGGGCTGGAGCAGGTTGGATATTCTGATTGTCTTTTGCCCTTTTTATATGTTCATAAGTGTTGAGATTTTATTTGTGAATTTCCTAGTAGGTTTCATTTCAATTTTTGATATTTGGTTTTGTCTATTGTAATTTAATCAAGGTTGGAAGAATGACGTGGTATAATTAAACCTCTATCAGAGTTACTTGAATCTAGTTTCACTATTCTAATTTTAGTATTGTTTTTGGTAAACCCTAACTTCAGTGTGAATAGACTATGTTCTAAATCATCAGTAGCACCTACTTTTACTTGTGCAGTTGAACTTATCAAATTCATAAATTGTCGAAGAGTGGTGTCCTCAGATTTTCCAAGGAAAACTAAGTACTTTAAAAGACTAAACAACTCTATACTAGCGATACAGGAAAGTACAGGGCCTAAAAAGATCTATTCATGCATGATTTCATAAGAAGTAGGAGCAGGAATAGGCCACAGGACTCTTTGAGTCTGCTATACTATTCAGTAGATCAAGTCTGCATTTACAATAACAAATCCACTTCTTGATTTCCTTAGTGCCCAAAAATCTGATGATCTCGTTTTTGAATTTACTCATTGACCACAACTCAGTGAGTGAACAAGTCCAAAGATTCATTGTCCGGAGTGAAGAAATGTTTCTTCATGTCAGTTCAAAATGGCTGACTTGTTGTCTTGAGACTGAGCTCTAGTTCTAGACTCAATAGCCATAAGAAATAGCCTCTCAGCGCCAATATGCCTGTCAAGTCCTCTAAATATTTTATATGTTTCAACGAGATCATCTCTCATTCTTCTAAATGCCCAGAGAATATAAACCTAGTCTGCTCAACCTCTCCTTAGAGGTCAACCCTTTTACCCAGAAATCAATCCAGTAAACGTATGATGAATCTTCTGTAATCCAAGAATATGCTTCGCTAGGTTAGGAGATGTATATCAACAAAGCTCGACCTAATTATGGCAACGCTTAATTAACCTAATGCATCCTTCCTTGCTCTATTTATTGCATTTATTACATGCTATTTCTTTTGTAATGACTTGCTGTCTTTGTTTTCTGGTTTAAACACCAATAAATTTATTGAGGACTATTAGGGATAGACAGTCATTGCTGATCTGACCAGAAAATAAAGGAATGAATTAAAAGAAAATCCTTCAAACAAGTTCAAAACTTCCCATGTTAAGGGTACAAGTCCATTGTCTAGTTGCTCAAACACAAGTTTGCCATCTATAGCATTGTTGAATTAAATGTGTCTGTGCTGCTTCACTTTTTTAATTCTGGTCCTCAAATTTATATTCTATTGACCGTCCCATGACTATATGTCAGGAAATGCATTTATTGGACCTTTGTTGCTAATTAATATTTGAGTCTCACTGTGTTTTATGTTTGGCAATAATTATTAGGCCTCATTGC